GTACCTATTTTCGATGAGAACACGCGGTGTGCATTTCTGTCATTCCTTCACGTAAAGTCCTGGTCACAAAAGCAAAGTTTGTGGGGAATAATAGCCATTCTCTATACTTTTGAGGCATAAGCGATTAAAACATAACATTTACTACCCAGGGACAAAAATCGTGTTACATGGTGTAATTGCTCCTGATGCAGCTGCGTTGTTTGTGTGTTTTTCTCATCTCTCCACCCCCCCCCCCCCCCCCCAACTTTAATGATTTTTTTTGTTTAAACTTTGGCATTTTAAAAACTTTGCCAACAAAAAATGTGGAGCGTGCCCGCCTCGCTCGTGGCGGATTACGTCAATTCCCGCTGAGCGAGTCCCGCTTGCCTTGCCGCGGTTGATAAACATCCCCGCGGTTGATACATCCCCGCAGTATTAACTAGGGCGGGTGGTGGTGGGGCGGGGAGGAGGCAACCCGCTGGGATCCGAACCGCGAAAGCGGAGCCCCTACGCACGCAAAGTCGCGCCACCACCGCTCGTTTGGATGTTTTGGTGGTGGTGGTGGTGGGGCAGGGAGGCTGAGAGGTGCGGGCGGGTGGGGAGCCCCCCCCCCCCCCGAATTATCTTCGCCACAGTGAGGGGGGGGGGGTGACGATTGCAGAGCTGCGCTATAGATAGATTCGGTACCCACCCCTCGCACACTACGCATAGCACGCGTACCGCATACCACACACACACACGTACCACATTCTGCACACCACACGATGCACAGGCTATATACTACTGGACATAACACACGCACACACGCCCCACACACGCACCGTACACACACCGTACACACACACTACTCACGCACTATACACACACATACGACACTCACCCCACACACCACACATACACACCCCCACACACACCCCCACACACGACACTCACTCCACACACCCCACACTCACCCCACACCTCACACACACCCCCACACAACACACACCACTCTCCCCACACACCCCACACACACACACCGCCACACACACCCCCCACACACACACACCCCCACACACACCCCCACACACCCCCACAGACACACACACCACTCACCCCACACACACACCGCCACACACATACACACACCACACACTCACCCCACACCTCACACACCCACAGACACACACCACTCACACCACACACACCACTCACACACACCCCCACAGACACACCACACACCATACACACCACACACACCACTCAAACCACTCGCACAACTCAAACCACACACACACAACTCAAACCACACACACCACTCACACAACACACACCACTCACACCATACACACCACTCACACCACTCACACAACTCAAACCACACACACACCACACACACCACTCACACCACTCACACACCACTCACACCACACACACGTGTGTAACGCGACACGAGCTCTTCCTCGTGCCAGGTCACGCTGCCACCACAAGGAGGGGTGGGGAGGCTTGTTTGTGTGTTTAGGGTATGGGTGGCTGTGTGACAGGGTATGTGGGTGTGTGTGGCTGAGTTAGTACGTGTGTATGTGTGGGGAGGAGCAGTAGCATAGCGGTGTAGCGCACTGCGCTATGAACCCAGCGACCCGAGTTCGATTCCTGCTCACGGTCAACACCAGCGACGATTATCTAAACCGATCCTGGGCCTCCCCAAGGTAGACTCAGCCCCAAATGAGTACCTGGTGCGATGTGTAAACATCGTCACGAGAGAGACAAAGGCGGCCACGCGTGGTTTTGGCCGCCCACTCCTCGTGTGCAGTACCGGGAGCTGCTTAATAAACTTTATAATTTTATGAAACTGAAACGAGAGATCAGGATCTATGTTCAAACTTGGCTCCCAGGGGTTTGTGGTGTACAAGTCTTTTCAAGGCGGTTATTACTAAACCCATTACACACGTACTGGCACACAGATATACTGACACATCACGCACACACACAGGAACACACCACACACACACTAACACACCACACACAAATACTATCCCAACCACACACTGCCAGACTCAACATTCCCATTCACGGCTAACATCAGTGAAGAATATCTGAACTGGGCCTGGGCCTCCCCCTAGGTCGACTCAACCATAAACGAGTAATCAGTACCTCCGGTGCGCTGTGAAAACATCGGCGCCGGGCATGGTTTCTTTTTTATCCACAAATTATCCATATGCGAAAGCGAGACCGCAAATTACTCTCCTGGGGTTTATACGCAGCAGCAGCAGCAGAAGCAGCAGCAGCAGCAAGCATCGCCTCCTGCTGGCAAGAGGCTCATGCCGCAGGCCACTCTTACAAATTGAGACTCCTGTTCTCCTGGGTTCCCCCCTCCTCTGAAGAGCTTCTTCTCACCTGCTAACGCAAAATCAACTTGAACATTCAATTGGGTGATTGCTTATTACAGCACTTGCCCCAAACAGCCTGTGTGAGGGCTGGCTACACAGGGCAGGGGGGGGGGGACTTTTGTCACTTGTATACGGGTAGCCGTAGGCCAGGTACATACACACACAGGTGATCCCCAACGTATCCCCCCCTCCTCCTGCTCTCCCCCCACGTGACTCCTTAATGAGTGTCTTTAATGAGCAATATGCTGTGCGGCTTAGCAGGAACATCGTGTTCCCTGTGACTCTCTCTCTCCCTGGGGGGTGTTGGCGAGCACCTATTAAGGTCGGCGTGTGGGGGGGAGGGACGCGGGGAAGTTTGAGGGGGGGTCAGACGCGTGCCTGGCCGCTTTTGTCTCCCCGGTAATTGATGATGAGTTGGTTTTTCTGGCCTTGCAGCCACCATCGCTCCCATCCGCATCATCGGAATCGCCACTCGTCAACGCGAACTTCACAGCCGACCTTGCCTCCTATCCCCGAGCCACTACCATCATCAGCACCAACATCATCATCATCATCGGCATCACCAATAGCACCATCATCATCGCCACCATTCCAATCGTCACCACTGTCTTCAACATCGGCCATGCACACGGCGCCGACGCCCAACAATACCACCGCTGCGACGTCACGCTACTGGTCTCCCACCAATTGTTAATTACTCTCGTGTTGGTGGTGGTGGTGACACAGTGGTGCTGATGACACGGTGATGCCGATTACCCAATGGCGATGAAGGCGTCCGAGACTCGCCACGCGCTCTGCACTCACGGTTGAACTCCAATAAAGATCTCCGCGTTTTCCCCCCCTCCCTCCATGCCTCTGCCCTCAATGTTGTCTAAAGTTAGCTCCCGTGTGGTCTCGCGAAAGAGAGATGGGCGGGGTCAGGGGTGACGGGGCTAAAGGTGGCACGGACAAGTCAGGGCTGACCTTGCATGGCCAGGAGTGAGAGGTCAGGGGTCATTTTGAGAGGTCAGGGGGGCAGGGGTGATGCTAAGAGGTCAGGGGTGATGTTGAGAGGTCAGAGGTGATGTTAAGAGGTCAGGGGTGACACTAATGGGGTAGAGAGGTCATGTTGAGAGGTCAGGGGTGATGTTGAGAGGTTAGAGGTGATGTTAAGAGGTCAGGGGTGACACTAATGGGGTAGAGAGGTCATGTTGAGAGGTCAGGGGTGATGTTGAGAGGTCAGAGGTGATGTTAAGAGGTCAGGGGTGACACTAATGGGGTAGAGAGGTCATGTTGAGAGGTCAGGGGTGATGTTGAGAGGTTAGAGGTGATGTTAAGAGGTCAGGGGTGACACTAATGGGTTAGGGGTGATGTTGAGAGGTCAGGGGTGATGTTGAGAGGTCAGGGGTGACAAGGCTGGCAGTGCGCATGAGGGGTGACATTAAGAGGTCAGGGGTGACAGGTCAGGCCTTGGGGCAAATGCGAAATGTAGGGGTTGCGGTTATGGTTGTAAGTTGGTGTTCTGGGGGCTCGGGTTTGAGCTCGATCTACGCAGGCAATGTCAAGAGTGGGTGAGCTACTCCCTCTAGTGGCAGTGATGAGTTAGTGTCACACTCGTGTTGGTATTAGTTGGCGCGCGTGGGGAGTGTTGTGGTGGAGAACGCAATGAACCCAGCCGACCGAGTTTGATTCCCACTCACAGCCAACACCAGTGACGAATGTCTGAACCGGTCCTGGGCCTCCGCTAGACCGACCCCCAGCCTCGAATGAAGGCCGCGGCGAGTCGAGCCTTCCAGCAGCGCGCAAGTTGACGCCAGCCAGGGGAGAGTGCGGGGGGTTCCGTGCCGTGCTGATCCCCGTGCTGCAGCCCCCCCCCCCCCCCCCCCGCAGGCTCTGGGTTTGGCTGCCAAGTGGTGTGGGGGGGGGGGCTATGTAATCTGGCAAATTCCTTGCACTGTGGCCCATACCCAACTGCATTGCGTTGCCACTGTGGTGTGTGGTTGGCGCGTGGCCCTACGAACCCGGCGACCCGAGCTCTATTCCCACTCGCGGTCAACATCGGTGACGAACATCTAGGCCTCCCTTGGGTCGACTCAGCCTCTCAAACGGGAACCCGATGCGATGGGTGAACATCGCCACCCGGGAGACAAAGGCGGTCGTGCGCGGTTGCTGGCCACCCAACCCCCTCTTGTGCCGTGCCGGCCTTCACAGGTGCTGCTTGCTAACAGCACTTGCCCCAACAGTCTGTTAAGGCTACACGGGGGGATATTTTTTGACGTGTGTGTGGTGGACGTGTGTGGAGCGGGTATAGGTGTGGTGTGATTGGGGGGTGTAGTGGTTGGCACATTTTGCCCCAATGCCCGGCGAGCCCGAGTTCGATTCCGGGCCACGGCCAACATCGGTGGCTCCTGGGCCTGCCCTCTCGGCCGTAAGCGAGTGCCTGGCGTAGCAACTAAACACGGCAACTGGCGATGATCCCACCACTGGCCAACACCACCGCTCCCCCCCAAGAGGTTTGACGTGCCAGCCTGAATAGGCGCTCGCTAACAGCACTTTCCGCAGCAGCCTGTGTGGGGGTACATCCCTGCCCAGTGTCCGTGTCTAACGGCGTGCATCGCTGTGCGTGTGTCCGTGCGTGCCTGTACCTGCCCCCCCCCCCCTCCAACCCCACAGTATTCGGACTTCCCCCCCCCCCCATCCCAGCTCCCTTGCCTTCTCGTTGCCGCTTTCCCGCCCCCTCGGCGGCCACTTGCAATGGCGTTGCGACGCGGTTGCCCCGGCGACGGAGGAGAAGTCGGTTTCTGCGGCGACAGAGGAGGCTTCCTCGGCGACGGCGGGGACCCGAGCGGTTTTCGCAGCGACGTCAGCGGCGTCGTCAGCGGCGGCGTCGGCGTCGTCAGCGGCGGTGCGGGGCCAGAGAGCGTGCGGGAGTTCACGCAGCACGCGCGCGACGTGCTGCGCAACCTGCGGGAGCTGCGCGCGCGCTGCGCCCTCACCGACGTCACGCTGCGCGCCGGCGGGCGAGACTTCCCCGCTCACAGCGCCGTGCTCGCCGCGTGCAGGTACGGGAGGGGAGGGGCGCGGCGGGGGGGTCACGGTACGGGAGGGGAGGGTGGGCGGGGGGGGGGGCAGGGGTCACGGCACAGGAGTGGGAGGGGGGGTACGGGAATGTCACTGTGGGTGAGAGGGGGGTTAAGGGGGGCATGGAAGGGAGGCACAGGTACAAGGGGGTGGTGGGGGCAGTACTAGAGTTGAGGGGGGGGGGGGCAGTTGAAGTTTGTTTATTCGAATCGGTGAGGGTAGAGCCATCAACAAAGGCAAAGATCCCCGTGTAGCCTTCACAGACTATTGGGCCAAGCGCTGTTAGCGAGTAGCACCTATGAAGGCTGGCAAGGTACACGAGGGGGTGGGTGGCCAGCACCATGCCACCACCATCATCACCGTCACCACCACCGCTGCAATCGCCATGAGAATTGGCGATGACCGTTGACCCCCATGCCCTGTATCTCTCTTCTCGCCCCCCCCCCCCTCCGCCACCGCAGCGGGTTCTTCTACAGCGTGCTCGCGGAGTCACGCGGCCCTGCCGGCTGCGGCGGCGGCGGCGGCGTGAGGGTGTTGCCCTTGCCCGGCGTGGACCCGTGCGGCCTCGAGGTGCTGCTGGACTTCATGTACACGTCGCGCCTGCCGCTCTCCCTCGACTCCGTGCTCGGCGTCATGGCCGCCGCGCGCTACCTGCACATGGAGCACGTGGTGCGCACCTGCGAGGCCTTCCTCGACAGGTGAGGGGGGGAGAGCGTTGAGAGAGCGCGAGTGTTGAGAAGGAGTGCGTGTGTTGAGAGAGTGTTGAGAGCGAGTGTTGAGAAGGAGTGCGTGTGTTGAGAGAGTGTTGAGAGCGAGTGTTGAGAAGGAGTGCGTGTGTTGAGAGAGTGTTGAGAGCGAGAGAATGAGAGAGCGAGTATGTGGACAGAGAGCGAGTTTGAGAGAGTGAGGGAGAGAGTGAGGGAGAGAGTGAGGGAGAGATTTAGGGAGAGAGAGTTAAGGAGAGAGAGTTAGGGAGGGAGAGAGTGAGGGAGAGATTTAGGGGGAGGGAGCGAGGGAGAGATTTAGGGAGAGAGAGTTAGGGAGAGAGAGTTAGGGAGAAAGTGCGAGAGAGAGAGTTAGGGAGAGAGTGTGAGAGAGAGAGAGTGAGGGAGAGAGTGAGAGAGAGAGTTAGGGAGAGAGTTAGGGAGAGAGTTAGGGAGAGAGAGTTAGGCAGAGAGTTAGGCAGAGAGTTAGGCAGAGAGTTAGGCAGAGAGTTGGGCAGAGAGTTAGGCAGAGAGTTAGGGAGAGAGTTAGGGAGAGATAGTTAGGGAAAGAGAGTTAGGGAAAGAGAGTTAGGGAGAGAGTGCAAGAGAGAGTGCAAGAGAGAGTGAGAGTTAAGGAGAGAGAGTGAGAGAGAGTTAGGGAGAGAGTTAGGGAAAGAAAGTTAGGGAGAGAGAGCGAGAGAGAGAGTAAGAGAGAGTGAGAGTTAAGGAGAGAGAGGGAGCGAGAGCACGAGTGAGTCAAAGGGACATCGTCTTGCTGACACCTGACACCCGCGTGTCCCCGTGGTGTCCCCACAGTCCCCAAGCTCTGCCGGAACGTCTCCGCAATCTGGACCCCAACTTCCACGGCTCGTTCCCCCCGACGCTGCTGTGCGGCATAAACCCGGGGCTCCCCCTGGGGGGCCCCCTCGCTCCCCCGCCGCTGTTCCTCCGGGGCCCCCCGTCCCCACCGCCCCAGCCGCAGCAGCCGCAGCAGCCGCAGCAGCCGCAGCAGCAGCAGCAGCAACAGCCGCAGCAGCAGCACCACCCCCTGGGCCCGCCCCCTCGCTTCACTTTCCCGGACCCCCCTCCTCCCGCCGCGCCCCGCCGCTGGGCCTCCGCCCCGGCCCCTGCCGCCGCCGCAGACCCCGCGAGCCCCTCCGGGGGAGGCCCCGCGGCCGAGGCGCCCTCGGAGGGGGCGGGGCCCCCCGGCGCCCCCTCGGCCCGCCGGGAGTCGGAGCCGAGCAGCCCTCCTGACAGCCACCGGGAGGTGGCCCCCCCCGGCAGCGGCCAGGTCAAGTCCTGCAACTGGAAGAAGCGACGGTTCCTCGTGCAGACGACGTCCAGCTCGTCCACCTCGTCCTCCCCGCCGTCCTCCCCCTCCTCCTCCTCCTCGTCGCCCACTTCGGACAGCGGTGCGGGCGGCGGGGACGCCTGCCCCCCCACCCCCCCCGCGACCGTTGCCGCAGTGGCGGTGGCGCCCTCCACTCCGCCCACCCGGCTCTCGCCGGCGCCGGAGGCCAAGGTGATGACCACGCTGTCTCCCGTGACGCCGCGCGGGAGGGACGGGAGGGACGGGAGGGACGACGGGGCCCCCCCGGCTCTGTTCCCCTGGGACTTGGGCTCCATCGTCGCCAGCGCCGCGGCCCAGCCACCGCCTCGCCCCTCCTCCTCTGCCCCCGCCTCCTCCTCTTCGCCGACGCCGCCACGCGCCACCTGCGTGGCCGCGTTCGACATGATGAAGCTGGAGGGGGGGTCGGAGGCCAGGGGGCCGGCGGGCGAGTGGGGGCCACCGCCGCCGCCGTCGTCGGCGGCGCTCACGCACTTCAAACAGCTGGTGGACAGGTGCGTGGGGCGGCGTCGTCACCTTGACCCCCCCCAGTGCCACGTCTCCCCCCCCCACCTTATCACCCCAGCGTCTCCCCGTGGTCGCGTGGATTTTTCTCCCGAGTCCTCCGGTTTTTCCCTCCACATTTCGAGTCAACGTGGTGCGTCTAGAGATGATTTGCCCGCTACAAATGTCCGCGTGATAAGCCACTTCGTAGGGCTATCATTCGTGATGGCCAGGCCGTTTCTGAAAAAGAGCCACACAGACCTTACAAGGTTAATAAATACCTGTGTCTTTGTTTGCGTTTCTCCCTTGTGATGGGACTTTGTAGCATGAATGTTGAGATTTATACGGGCATGGGGTGACCAATAAGGTCTGAATTGATAATTGTTTTTTTACCCTTCTATCTGCCAACAAAACTGACACCTTTTTTTATGATGAGTCATGTTTGCATAGACCACACTACCTGCAGTCATAATGCAAACAAAAAACATAACTCTGATAATGTATGCACTGTCCTTGAAAGTTGATTGGTCCACACCCGAAACAGCTTTCCTTAGAGCCTAGTCTCACATGGGTTGGACCAGATGACGCCAAAAGGCGCACTAATACGGTAGGGCACTGATAAGGGGTTGACAGGTATGTTAAAAAATTTATATATATAATATATATCATTCTCTTGATGACGATCGCTTGTGTTGTGATCAAAACGTCGTATTTTTTACACACTTTAATTTAACTCACTCTGTTGTTGTATCCTCAAATCTTGTAACTCAATTTTAACCCACTTCCAAATGTGGTATCGAATGCAAACTTGGTATACTAATGTCACACTGATGACAATACTATATTCTATCATAAAAAATAAAATACAAATATTTCTAAACATTATTTTTTATACGTTATGTTTCGGCTTGGGTCTAATTGTCCACGCTCAACTGACGTTGGCTGTATTTGGCCACGGTCCCATATGTTATGCCAAGCTTCGGGGCCACTTTCTGGAGTCGTGGAGTTCTGCCATTACTAGTACATTTCATAAAAGCGTGTTTAAAAAAGAGTTTTTAAAATATTACTTATTTGTTATTTTCTTTGAACCTGGCTACGTGAATTTACCGAAAGACCCAAATAATATGAATTCCTGCAGTCACGAAAGATTTCAACATATATTTAGTTAATGGGAGGAGTGGCCGTGTTAACGAGCGCGGCGTTCCCGTGGCGACGCAGGCTCAAGGAGGAATCGGGGGGCTTCAAGCGGCCCGAACTCGGCCTCCCCGTGGCCCACGGCGCCGACAGCCCCCCGCCACGCGGTGACGGCCACGCCGCCTCTCCCGGCATCGCTGGCTCACCGGGACTGGCCGGGTCGCCCGGCCTGATGAGCTCGCCAAGCCACGACGGACCGCACGGTGAGAAGCGGAGCGAGCGAGCGAGCCGGGGAATCTGATCACGATTCGGGGTCCCGATTCCTCACTCGCACGGAGACCCACAAACACACACGGAGACCCACAGACTCACACAGACACCCACATACACACACGGAGACCCACAGACACACACGATTCGGGGTCACGATTCCTCACTCGCACGGAGACCCACAAACACACACGGAGACCCACAGACTCACACAGACACCCACAGACACACACGGAGACCCACAGACACACACGATTCGGGGTCACGATTCCTCACTCGCACGGAGACCCACAAACACACACGGAGACCCACAGACTCACACAGACACCCACAGACACACACGGAGACCCACAGACACACACGATTCGGGGTCACAATTCCTCACTCGCACGGAGACCCACAAACACACACGGAGACCCACAGACTCACACGGACACCCACAGACACACACAGAGACCCACAGACACACACAGAGACCCACAGACACACACAGAGACCCACAGACACACGATTCGGGGTCACGATTCCTCACTCGCACGGAGACCCACAAACACACACGGAGACCCACAGACTCACACAGAGACCCACAGACACACACAGACCCACAGACCCACAGACACACACAGAGACCCACAGACACACACAGAGACCCACAGACACACACGATTCTGGGTCACGATTCCTCACTCGCACGGAGACCCACAAACACACACGGAGACCCACAGACTCACACAGAGACCCACAGACACACACAGAGACCCACAGACACACACAGAGACACACAGAGACACACAGACACACACAGAGACCCACAGACACACACAGAGACCCACAGACACACACAGAGACCCACAGACACACAGAGACCCACAGACACACACAGAGACCCACAGACACACACAGAGACCCACAGACACACACAGAGACCCACAGACACACACAGAGACCCACAGACACACACAGAGACCCACAGACACACACAGAGACCCACAGACACACACAGAGACCCACAGACACACACAGAGACCCACAGACACACACAGAGACCCACAGACACACACAGAGACCCATATACTAAGAGACCCACATACTCGTATACTCGGAGACCCACATACTCGTATACTCGGAGACCGGCAGGCTCACGCACACAGACCCACGTACTCGGAGACCCATAGGCCCACACACAAGAGACCCGTAGACTCGTACTGAGGCCGGCAAGCCTCACACGTGTGTGTCCACCCCCTCCTCCCGCGTGTAGACCCCACGTGCGTGCGCGCGTGCGGCGCGTGCGGCCTGGGCTTTCCCGAAGAGGGCGCCCTGCGGCGCCACATCGCTCGCATCCACGCCGACGACAAGCCCTACAAGTGCGACACCTGCCACGCCGCCTTCCGCTACAAGGGCAACCTCTCCAGCCACCGCACCGTGCACTCCGGTGGGCACCTAGCCTGGCACGGCGACCGCCACTGTAAACTCACGCGGGCACCTAGCCTGGCACGGCGACCGCCACTGTACACTCACGTGGGCACCTAGCCTGGCACGGCGACCGCCACTGTACACTCACGGCACCTAGCCTGGCACGGCGACCGCCACTGTACACTCAGGCGGGCACCTAGCCTGGCACGGCGACCGCAACAATGCACTCATTCACGCAGGCACGTAGCCTGGCGCCGGGATAACAAAGGCACTATACACTCACTCGCTTGGGCGGGCACCTATCCCGGCACCTAGCCTGGCACCGGTCCAGCCACTCGTACGTGTGCGGGCGAACACCTAGCCTGGCAGTCGCCGCCCCGGGCGTGAGTGTGACCCTGGCTGTGACCCCGTGCCCCGGTGATGACCCAGCAGGAGAGAAGCCCTACCGCTGCACGGTGTGCGGGGCGCAGTTCAACCGGCCGGCCAACCTCAAGACGCACACGCGCATCCACTCGGGGGAGAAGCCCTACAAGTGTGACACCTGCGGGGCCTGCTTCGTCCAGGTGAGGCACGCACGCACGCACTCGCTCAACCGCACTCACCTAATATGCACTCGCTCACCCGCACTCGCTCACCCGCACTCGCTCGCCCACACTCGCTCACCCACACTCGCTCATCCGCACTCGCTCACCCGCACTCGCTCACCCGCACTCGCTCACTCACCCACACTCGCCCATCCACACTCACTCACCCGCACTCGCTCACTCGCACTCACTCACCCACACTCGCTCACCCGCACTCACCCACACTCACTCACCCGCACTCGCTCACCCGCACTCACTCACCCGCACTCGCTCACCCGCACTCACTCACCCACACTCGCTCACCCACACTCACTCACCCACACTCGCTCACCCACACTCACTCACCCACACTCGCTGACCCACACTCACTCACCCACACTCACTCACCCACACTCGCTCACCCGCACTCACTCACCCGCACTCACTCACCCGCAACAGCATCGCCTGATACCCCTGTTGCGATGAGACACTCTGGACACACCAGATTTAAGCCACAGCAGCGGGGACAATTGTCTAAAGCATCGCACCTGCGTGCTTGTGCTGGTGGTGGTGCAGGTGGTTCACCTGCGCGCTTGTTGTCGTGGTTGTCGTGGCGGTTGTGCAGGTTGCTCACCTGCGGGCCCACGTGCTCATCCACACGGGGGAGAAGCCGTACCCGTGCGAGACGTGCGGGACGCGCTTCCGCCACCTGCAGACGCTCAAGAGTCACATCCGCATCCACACGGGAGAGAAGCCCTATCACGTGGGTCCCAGCACACTCGCCACCGTGCCCGCCACATCCGCCACAACACTCGTTGCGCTATACTCGCCGCACCGTACGCGCTCGCGCACATCCACTCAAGCTCACGCGCACACTCGCTCGCTCGCTCATTGGCTCGCCCACTCGCTCACTCGTCCGTGCGTGTGCGTGTGGCAGTGCGAGTCGTGCGACCTGCACTTCCGCCACAAGAGCCAGCTGCGCCTGCACCTGCGCCAGAAGCACGGTGCCATCACAAACACCAAGGTCAAGTACCAGGTGCTGGACGCGCCCGAGGGCGGCGCGGGGCTCGCCGGCGAGGGGCTCGCCGGCGAGGGGCCCGCCGGCGCCGGCATCGGCGCCACGGGCGGAGGGGGGGCGCCCCTGGCCGACGACGGGGGCGACGCGGGCCGCCCCGTGCCGGCGGCTCGCGGCCCCGAAGCGGGGCCCGCGGCGGGGGCCCCCCGCCAGAGCCCTGACACGGAGCCCCCGGCGGCACCCCTCGGGTTCCCGCGCAAGCGCAGCTCCAGCGGCGGCGGCGCCACCTCGTCGGACGACGACGATTCCGGACTCTCGATGAACGGGGACCCGGAGTCGCCCGTGGCCGGAGCCGGGAGGGCGCCGTGCGGCCTGCGCTGGGTTTAGCCGGGCCTACGCCGGGCCTACGCCGAGCCTACGCCGAGCCGCGCCTGGACGGGTTCGGCCCTCTTTCGCCCAGCCGGCTCGCCCATCGGCCTTCGTCCGACGAGGACTTGGCGAGGCTTCGCTCACGGATTCTTGCTGCTCCCCTCCCCTCTCCCTCCCGACCCCGAGCCCCCCCCCCCTACCACCGTTGGTACGAGTTGGACTCCCGGTGAAGGACACGTTTCAGTGTTGGGGGAGCCGGTGGCAGTGGAGCCGACGTTGGTGGTGGGGCTGGGAGGGGGGGGGCTACGTGCACCTTAAGAGCCCGCGGTGGGGTCCGGGTTCGGCTCCGGGCCCAGCCCTCCCGTGGTGGTGGTCGTTATCTCGGTTTGTGTTTTTGGTCTTCGTGGAATTATCGGGAGACGGCCGCGGCGCGGCGCCGACCCTGCAGGAGATGCCGCGCCTCTCCAGTTCCGACGACGTTCGACGACGACGTCGCCGCCGGCCGTCTCGATACAGACGACGACGCCGCAACATCAGCAGAGTCTACGCCGACCGACCGCGACGCTCGCGGCGTTGAACGTCAACAACGGCGGTAACGGCAGCGTCAAGAGCTGCGTCGACCTTGGGTCGAATTATTCGCCTGAACTTTGGTGTCATCAGCAGTAGCAGCCGCCGCAGCAACACGATGCAATGATCGGTGACAAATCGGTCCTCATCACGGCAAACCCTGCCGATGCTCCGTGTGGTGGTGGTTCCAGTCGCATTGCCGACCGGATACGAGAACACACGGGTACACGCGCAGGTGTTCACACACGCATACAGGCACACGCAGCATTACGCACACACACGTAGACCGAGATACACAGGAACACACACAAGTTGGTGCAGACATACACAGGTACACACGGAAACACAAACGTCCGCGTAAAAGTGCCAATGCCGCTGGCACGTGGTTGGATGCCGTTGGCCCGGTGTTGGGGCCGACATTCCACACTTGCTTGGGGGGTAGGCCAAGTTACGCAGGCACAGCGCGCGGGAACACGCGTGTTGGCCGGGACACATCACATGCACAGGTGTACGCTCTCAGATGTGCACCCAAAGACGTGCGGAGTCAAAAGCGCAGACAGATGCACGGCTACACACAGGTGGGCAGACAAGATCACGCACAGGTAGGCACGGGTACAGACACTCGCACGCCGCCCGCACGTGCAGGTGGACGCGGGCAGTGGACAGGTGGGAACGGGTGGAGACCACCTGTCCACCGCCAGCGTCGTCCTGCCTGTGTAGCTACGCAGTAGCAGCGTTCAAAGTTTCTGCTTTTGAGCGGCAGCAGTCAAATCCGCACGGGGATCCAGATTCTCACCCTAACTCATCCCGACTCTACACACAGCCTCGACTTTACCCCTGGCTCTAGACTCTACCCATGACTGTACCCCTGGCTTTCGACTCTACACATTGCCTCAACTCTACCCCTGGCTCTATACTCTACCCATGACTCTTCCCCTGGCTTTCGACTCTACACATTGCCTCAACTCTACCCCTCGCTCTCAACTCTACACACAGCCTCGACTCTACCCCTGGTTCTAGACTCTGCTCATGACTCTACTGATGACGCTAGACACTAACCCTGAGCCTAGACAAGGTCCGTAAGAGAAGGCCGATCTGTATTAACACCTTTGATACCAGCCTCTCAGCATTTCCCTTTTCTGCTTTTACCAAAATTCCTAATCTCTCCCAGTAATTAAGCCAACAACAAAACTAATTCAAATGGTAATCATTGTTATTTCATAATAATTCCGACAACAAAGAGACGGCTTAAAAGCTACAAGAACCACAGACGCGACAATTAATCGAAGCAGCATAAACATGTAAAATGGCGGCCGTGTCGCGTGGCCCCTGCGTTGCCTAGCAACAAGGGGCGGCTATTGTATTTAAGTGAGGTAAATGTTATAAATGTTGTCGTTATAAGATACCTTATTCTATTACACAGATATCTATGAATACTATGTATGTGTTGTGAACGCGAGCCAGATTCGCGTGAGGCGAGAGTTTTGGACACGTAAACCACTGTTGGCGCTTTGGCGGGAAAACGAGACGAGAGCCATAGAGGCGCGTGCGGCGGGGCACGTGTGTGTGTGTACACGTGTGTGTGTGTGTGTACACGTGTGTGTGTGTGTACACGTGCGTGTGTACACTTGTGTATGTTTACTCGTATGTATACGCGCGCTTGTGAGAATATCTGTGTTGTACATCCGTGTGGGCAGTGGTTATGGCACCGCGCCACGAACCCGACGACTCAAGTTCGATTCCCGCTCACGGCCAACACCAGTGACGATTATCTGTCCGTCGGAAACGGTCCTAGGTCGACTCAGCCTTAAAGGAGTACCTGGTGCGACGGTGTGTAAAACATCAGCACCGGGGAGACAAAGGCGGCCGGGCGTGGTGCTGGCCACCCACCCCTCATAGGTGCACTGTGCCAGCCTTCATGCTAACAGCACTTGCCCCAACAGTCCGAGAAAGACTGCAAGGGGGATCTTTGTCCTTCTGTACACCCGTGTACGTGTGTGTTTACAAGTGTGTACGCAGGTGTACGTGTGTGTGTGTGTGTGTTTCCCGCCTGTGGCGTTTGTGTGTGCACCATTCGTGTAAACGTGTTTCGGTGAGACTATGTTTGTGTACGTGTGTGTTTGTCAGTGTGTGTTTGTGCACTCGCTAAAAGCACTTGCAAGACTAAATGCGTGTACACATCAGTACACGCGTGTATGTCAAAGCGTGACTGAATCTGCGTGCGCGTGTGTTACCTGTCAGTATACTGTGCGTGTCTATGCACATGCATTTGATGGTGAATTGTACGTACACGTGTACACACAACGCGCGTGCACGTGTGCATTGCGCGTGTGTGTGTACACGCGCGTGTGTGTGTGTACACGTGTGTGTGTGTGTGTACACGTGTCTCCGCTCCCGTGACATGTAGACACTGCCGACGCGAGCACACGCGTGCCTTAATGATGACGACGGTGATGGTGGTGATGGTGGTGATTGTGATGATTGTGATGGCGATGGTGGTGGTGATGGTGGCGATGGTGATGATGGCGGCGATGGTTGTGATGGTGGCGATGATGGTGGTGATGGTGGTGGTGGCAATGGTGGTGATGGAGCCCAGCTCTTAAGACAATGGGACCCGCTTTTGCCTTTCAGTCTGTGTGGCCAAGCTGTATTCGTGTGTGTATGTGGATTTACGTGTGTGTGTGTGCGTACGCATGTCAATGTCTTTGTGCGTCTTTTGGAGGTGGGGGGGGGGGAGCGGTGGCGCATCGGTTGGCACACTGCACTAGGAGCCTAGCTCAACTGGGTTCATTCCCCGGCCATGGCATAAGTGGCGTCTAGAACTGCCCTGGACCTCCGCTCTAGGTCGACTCAGCCTTAAATGAGCGCCCGTTGCGGAGCGTGTAAAAACATCAGCACTATGTGAGACAAAGGCGGCCGGGTGGGGTGTGGTGCTGGCCACGCTACCACCTCCCCCCCCCCCCCCTCTCTAGGTGCGCCTTGCCGGCCTTAATAGGTGCTCGCTAACAGCACGTGCCGCCCCTCAAGCAGTCTGTAAGGCTACACGGGGTGTGTGTGTGTGGCGTGTGTTGAGTGTTTGTTGTGAAGGAAGGGGTGGGGGGGTTGTTTTTGCTTATTGGTTATAAATGTAAATATTTTGCCAAAAAGAAAACAAAAGAACTTAAGGTGGTGACGATGAGGAGAGGCGTTAATTGAGTTCAACAAACGGGGGGGTATGTGGGGGATAAAATATATAAACTCAATAGCAAAATCTATTTTTGTGTAAAAAACTAAATAAAGTATATATATATGATGATGGTGATGACGACGACGATGATGGTAATGATGGTGGTCGCGGTGATGATTGTGAATGGTGGTGGTGGTGCTGATGATGGGTGGGAGTTGTGGTGACGTCCCCGGTTGAACCGCTGCTATTTGCTGTCGCCGCTTCTGCCGATCTCCCCCCCCTCCTGCTCCTCTTCCTGTGCCGTCCTCCCTGCAGCAGCAGCCTCCTGCCTGCTCCCTCTCCCCTCTAAACCCAGACGAGCGCCCCATTTCAGTAACACGGCATCTATGAAATAAAAAAAACTCGGAAAAACTCCACCCGTCGCTCCGCGTCGTTCTTGTCAGGACAGCCTGGGCCATGCTGTGTCGGTAAAACCCTGCACCACCCAACACGGCTCGGCAACATTAGTGGTACGAGCATTTGCCGGCGCGCCGATTGCGATGTTTCCCCCCCCCCCCTATCGCCCACCACCACACCTCCCGATTAGCGCGGTTGGCTACGTACGGCGCGAAAGAAGTTCACCGCACATGCGTACAAGTACAGGACCTCAAAACGAGATCTTGTGGAATGCCACCATGTCAACAGCCATCAGCCGGCACAAGGTGTAGGTCGGAGGAACAGTCCGTGACTTTCATGATGGGTCTTTGGCCATGTCGGGTGGCGGGAGGCCTTCTAAACGACGTAGCTTTGTCAAGATAACAATTATGTAAGTGTCCTCGCCCTGTATACCCAATTGTGAACCGTAATCTTCGTTACTAAATTGTTTGAGTCAAGTGACCCGGTCTCAACACTTTGTTCACGAGAGGTGAGTGCGCGTGGCCCATGCCACGCGCCAGGTTAGCCAGGTCACGCGCCAGGTTAGCCAGGCCAGGTTAGCCAGGCCACAGGTCAGGTTAGCCAGGCCACAGGTCAGGTTCGCCAGGCCACGCGCCAGGTTAGCCAGGGGCCAGGTTAGCCAGGCCACAGGTCAGGTTCACCAGGCCACGCGCCAGGTTAGCCGTGCCACAGGTCAGGTTCGCCAGGCCACGGGCCAGGTTAGCCAGGCCACAGGTCAGGTTCGCCAGGGGCCAGGTTAGCCAGGCCACAGGTCAGGTTCGCCAGGGGCCAGGTTAGCCAGGCCACAGGTCAGGTTCGCCAGGTCACGCGCCAGGTTCGCCAGGCCACAAGTCAGGTTCGCCAGGCCACGCGCCAGGTTAGCCAGGCCACAGGTCAGGTTCGCCAGGGGCCAGGTTAGCCAGGCCACAGGTCAGGTTCGCCAGGTCACGCGCCAGGTTCGCCAAGCCACAGGTCAGGTTCGCCAGGGGCCAGGTTAGCCAGGCCACAGGTCAGGTTCGCCAGGTCACGCGCCAGGTTAGCCAGGCCACAGGTCAGGTTCGCCAGGGGCCAGGTTAGCCAGGCCACAGGTCAGGTTCGCCAGGTCACGCGCCAGGTTCGCCAAGCCACAGGTCAGGTTCGCCAGGGGCCAGGTTAGCCAGGCCACAGGTCAGGTTCGCCAGGTCACGCGCCAGGTTCGCCAAGCCACAGGTCAGGTTCGCCAGGGGCCAGGTTAGCCAGGCCACAGGTCAGGTTCGCCAGGTCACGCGCCAGGTTCGCCAGGCCACGCACCAGGTTAGCCAGGCCAGGTTAGCCGTGCCACAGGTCAGGTTCGCCAGGCCACGGGCCAGGTTAGCCAGGCCACAGGTCAGGTTCGCCAGGGGCCAGGTTAGCCAGGCCACAGGTCAGGTTCGCCAGGGGCCAGGTTAGCCAGGCCACAGGTCAGGTTCGCCAGGTCACGCGCCAGGTTCGCCAGGCCACAAGTCAGGTTCGCCAGGCCACGCGCCAGGTTAGCCAGGCCACAGGTCAGGTTCGCCAGGGGCCAGGTTAGCCAGGCCACAGGTCAGATTCGCCAGGTCACGCGCCAGGTTCGCCAAGCCACAGGTCAGGTTCGCCAGGGGCCAGGTTAGCCAGGCCACAGGTCAGGTTCGCCAGGTCACGCGCCAGGTTAGCCAGGCCACAGGTCAGGTTCGCCAGGGGCCAGGTTAGCCAGGCCACAGGTCAGGTTCGCCAGGTCACGCGCCAGGTTCGCCAAGCCACAGGTCAGGTTCGCCAGGGGCCAGGTTAGCCAGGCCACAGGTCAGGTTCGCCAGGTCACGCGCCAGGTTCGCCAAGCCACAGGTCAGGTTCGCCAGGGGCCAGGTTAGCCAGGCCACAGGTCAGGTTCGCCAGGTCACGCGCCAGGTTCGCCAGGCCACGCACCAGGTTAGCCAGGCCAGGTTAGCCGTGCCACAGGTCAGGTTCGCCAGGCCAGGGGCCAGGTTAGCCAGGCCACAGGTCAGGTTCGCCAGGTCACGCGCCAGGTTAGCCAGGCCACGTGCCAGGTTAGCCAGGCCAGGTTAGCCAGGCCACAGGTCAGGTTCGCGAGGCCAGGGGCCAGGTTAACCGGGGTCGAGTACCTCGCACGCTGGCCCATGGCGTGGCCCTTACAAGATGAGTCGGCCTCGTCTATCATTGATGCCTTTTTGCACGGCTACGTTTAAGATCAGGGTGACCCTGAGCAGCTTCTAACGGACCATGGTCGGAATTTTTCTTCTCGACTGCTCAAGGAGGTCTATGACCTTGGCAGGAATAAAATTCGTATCTCGCCCTACCCACCCTCAAACCGATGGAATGGTGGAGCGCTTAAATCGCACCCTCACGTCCATTCTGTGCCACCAGGTGAATGCGACCCGGTCGGACTGGGATCTGTTTATTCGGGCCGTCCTCACCGCATATAGGTTGGTCCCTCACACCTCAACGGGGTGTTCACGCTTCTATTTGATGTACGGGAGGGAGCCCGAACCACCGAGGCACGTGCAAGTGGGCCTGGGCTCGTCTAAAACGGGATCCGCCGTGCCCGCTTCGATGAAGGTCACGCTTGACAGATTACGTGAAGCACGGGATGCTGCCGTGGGTAAATTGGCCAACCGACAAGCGGCTAACGAGCGCTTGCAGAAACCAGGGATCTGGGCTTCTGTGGAGGAAGGGGGCCAAAGCTTGGCTACATTGCCCCCAGGTGCCCATTGGGATGTCCCCTAAATTACATCGCCCTTGGCAGGGCCCCGTTGAGATCGTGGAGGTCCACCGGCCACAGTGCGTGCGCATCCGATTCGGTCACCGTCACTGGATTGTTCATCTATCTCGAT